GTGCTGGTAGCAGCCTCATGCTGTGGGGCTGTTTTTCAGCGGCAGGACTCATTAGACTCATTAGAGTAGAAGAAACGCTCAGTGCAGCAAAATATAGAGATAGCCTTGATGAAAACAACATTCAGAGCATTCAGAACCTCGGACTAGGCAGAAGAGCTTCCAACAAGACAATGACCCTAAGCACACAACTTAGACAATGCAGGAGTGGCTTATGGACAACTCTGAGCTTGGGATTTCTGGAGAAACCTGAAAATGTGCATCTGCCCCCATCCAACCTGACAGAGCGTGAGAGGTGAAGAATGGCAGATAATTGCAAAATGCTGATGAGCAAAGCTTGTCGCATCAAACAAAAAAAGACTTGAGGCTGTTAAGGTGCTTCAGCTAAATATTTAGTTATTTAGATATTTAGATAAATATTTAAATATTTAGAATACTTATGCAATTTACTTATTTCAGTTTTTTTTTTTTATAAATTTACGAAGTTGTGACAATTCTGTTTTTGCTTTGTCAGTATGGTGTATGGAGTGTAGATTGATGTTGGAAAAAAAGTAATTTAAAGAAGTTTATCATAAGGCAGCAACATAAAATGTAAAAAAAACATGAAGGGGTATGAATACTTTCGCAAGGCACTATATATATATATATATATATATATATACACAACAGTTCTTTCTGGTTCTCGAATCTGATTGGATGAGAGCCTTTTCCCATAGATAGATAGATAGATTTTTTTTTTCTTTAGAGAACATAGTATAAAATTTTATAATACCAATTTATGGCCATAACTTTAAAATAATTTTCGCCTCATTGGTACAGGCCAGAATCTTAAAATGATGTGTGGCAACATTTATATGTCTATGTCCTATGTGTCTTTTAATGCACAGAAGGTCTGTGTTTATTTTAATTTTTAAGCAAGTGTTTTGGAAGAGTGTCCTTTGATATATCACTAAGTTGTTCTTCGTCTTGCCTCTGTACGTGTGTGTGTTGACATGTATCTGCTCCTTATTTAATGCAGGTGGGTTTGGTGTGACGCAAGCTGAGTCATGTTGAGAGGATTTGTGTGTTGCTGGATGAGGACAAAGTTCAGAAAACATTCACACAGATCTGTAGTCTTGTACAGTCAAAATAAGACATAACACACACACTGCCTCTGAGCTTCTTTTCCGTCTGCGGTTTTTGTAGCCTATCTGTTACACTGCAGTGTTTTGTGTCTGTTGTTGGCATGACAAAATGCATTAAGTGGCTGAAGCTGTGACTCCAGCACCTGAAGGACAATGAGGTGTAACCAAATGTAATCAGCACCCTCCCTTCTTTCATTTATTCTCATTTTCTTCCTGCTCCATCCTTCTTTTCTTGTTCCTGATGCAATAAGGCAGGTCCTTTTAATGAACCCACCAGAAACAAACACATACACACCTGTCTGGTGGGGCTATTAGTGCACATGCTGAGGGGGAACTGTGATTATGAGCATTTCCTCATGTACTGCATATATAACATTGACTGATAATAATGTGGAGATAATTTATATAATAAAAAATATAACAATAAGTGCTCCAGGAAAAGGTGTCTAGAGGCGTTTTGAGGATTATGATGGATCCTGCTGTTTAGGTGAAGGTTGGGAGGTTATTTTACCACCAGGGGACGGTGAGTGTAAAAGTTTTAAAAAGAGAACTTGTGCCACATTGTGACGGCACTACTACACAATTGTTCATTTACTGACTGCAGGGGGCAAAAGAGAATGTAAATGAGCTAATGAGTGAATACACCCCTGTAGTCTAATAAGATTTCACGTGATATCTGTTAATCTGTGTGAGGTTATAAATCAGAGCTCATATGGGGGAAATTATCACTGGATACTGCAGGAACTTCTAGTAAGCACAGCTAGTGATTCTGTACAGGAAAGCACCAGGCTTCAGTGTGTTTTGTGTGTTTAAGTGTTGAAATTGCAGGGCTCCAGACTGCGATTAAAATGATCACAAATGTGGCCAAAAACAGTCACTAGTGCTTTGTGTCCATCCATATGTGATTTCATCTGACATCAGAGCGTGCGCCAGTCATAGCAACGTTTACATGCAACCAAATAATCTGTTAATTATCGAACTGAAAAGCCTTTATGTAAACATTTCAAACAATCCAAATGAACTCGATCCGAATGAAATTTTGATTGTTGAAAGGGATGGTTTTGACCTGAAGTAATCCGATAAATAGGAAAAATAACATGTAAACTCTCGAATCCGATTCTTTTCTAAATCAGCTTCAAAAGTGCCGTGATGCATATGTTTACATATATTTTACATGTGTATGTGTACGAATTGGTCAGTGGAGACATAAAATGTCTTTTTTAAAAGACTGTTTAGAAATATGTTTTTAATCTTTCTATTTTATATTTGTCATCAAGGCAGATGCAACGTTTAGGGTTCAATTCAGAATCTGCAATCGTATTGGATTCATTTGGATTGGCAAAAATTTGTCAAGTAAACATATCAAGATAATATCATATCAACATAAGTTTTCTGTACTGACGAACGAACGTAGCGTGAGCTGTAATGTCTGATTTGTGAACAAACAACTCATAAATGGATCTTTTTAATGAGTCAAAGTGGCACTGGATTTCCACTTAAATTAGCCCTTGGAATCAAACACACACAAAAAGTGAATGATTAAGAGAGTTCACAGCTGACACTCTCAAAGAATTGTGAGTTGTTTGTGAGTTATGTCCGATTTATAAAATGGGAACCGTTACTGTGACATTAGGTTTGTGAAACCTTAAAGGTTTTGCTTTCTACGCATCTTTGTATTGTACCATTCAAAATCTCTCTTCTCTATTTCTTCAACAGGCTGGTCTTCTGTGGCCATTCCAATGGTTGCTTTTCTCTATTGCTTTGCTCAAGTTGGTATTGAGTGGGACATGAGATGACAACATCGCTCGGAGTAGAATCATGGGAAGGCAACATTTCTCACAGAAAACACAGTGGTATTTAAAGTTTTACCATAGTTTGGACCAATCCCAATGTGGATAACCAGCATTCCTATCAACTCCTACAATATCATGTGTTTGTATAGTAGTTATGCTGTATTTGGAGCACGCGTGTGTGTGTGTAGAAATGAAATGGTGTGAGTGCTCCAGGTGTGTGCTTGATGGTGAATCCTGTCGCTGCTTTATTTATGAGTTTGTCTGAACACTGATGGTGACACATGTCTCTGATCAGCGGCCAGGATACAGCCTGACCATTGCTCTCTCTCTCCCTCGTCTCTCCATCTGTGTAGATTTTCATCTTCTCGTTCATTTTGTCCCTCTGATCTTTCTTGTCCTGATCTCTCCACCTTGTCTCATTTTTTCTTGTCTTTTTTCTCGTGTCTATCTACTTCTATCTTCTTACTAACAGCTCAAGCTACTCTATGTGGTTAATTAGATCAGTGATCTTCTAGCCTGGAGTTTCTCCTTTGTTAGAGAGAGGTAAGACGTGTGTGTTTCAGTGGTAGGGAGATTACACTTTAATGAGCTTTATCTCTGCTGCGTACCTTTATCAGCATCAGATTAATCATTCATAATCCCTTCACAAAAATCTCTCTCTCTATTTCAATTTTAGTGTGCTTTATTGGCAAGATAAAACTGCAAATTTGCATTAACATACAAATAAAAACTGCCATATTGCCATTTCAACATATAAGCAATGAGAAATGTTGTAATGCAAGTAATGAAGGGTGCACTCAGTATTTATTTTTTTCAGTTATATATAAATTTTTGCTATGACTGCAGTCTCTCTCTCTGTCTCTTCTCTGTGATATGATGTTATTTTAGTAGATGGTATGGCAGAGGTCATGCGTGACCTGCCCTTTCTGTGAGTCATACTGAAATTACTTACTGCCATCACATGTTACACAGGTCCTTGATGTGCATGTGTGTGTTTTTCTCAACACCGGTCACTCTGCTATTAATGAATGTTGATTAATTGTTATGTAACATTACACACTCTTCAAAGTGTAGATAATTGCAGAGTTCAAAATGTAACAAGCTCAGTCTTTCTCTCTGCTTAAAGTCAGCATGAATTGTCATTTACACCTTGTAATGTGGTATATTTTTTGGTGAAATTTAATATTTAATGAGATAAAATATACGGCGGGATTTAATTTAGTTAATTTGGAGTTGGATTGGATGATGTAAAGTGGACATTACTTACCATAATGGAGCTAGAAATGAAAGCAATTTTGCTAAAGCAATGTGTAAATAGCTATTGGTCCTTATCAAATAGACTGTTTTAAATAGTACTATGGGCAATTTTAGATCTTTTGAATTGCATTAAATTGGGCCAGTTGTTTTCACGCTGACTTTAAAGCTAATGTGCTTTCATAAGTATCTTTAATGTGCGCAAACAATGAGAAATGCATAAATTGACAGCAAGAGAGAACGAGCGAAAATACGTATAGAAAATATTTTATTATCATAAATAATATTTTACAGCAATTTTACAAATGTTGTCTTTGTGCTTTACAGTAGTAGTAATTTCCATGTGAAGAAATTATTTCAGTGAGGATGTTTCAGTCAGTGGATAATGACCATGCTGTCTGCTGAGTACATCTGAAATACGTTTAATTAGGGCTGTTTTTAAAGAATGACCCTTAGAAGGACCTGTGTGAGCAGACAGATGTGTTTGTTCTTCCAAACCCTGGAGTGTGATAGAACTGCACAGCTCCGTTTGAACTTCACTATCAGTGTTAAGGACTTCAAAAATACTCACTGTTCCCCAAATTTCCGTACTGTACATGTCAAGATTTGTATTCAAACACTTACATGCACCAACACACACTAATATGCTGTGTGTGTGTGTGTGTGTGTGTGTGTGTGTGTGCGCGCAATAGCATGTTTGGGTGAATCTCACAGAATCTGTCCTGAACATGTTCAGTATTTATTTTACTCCAAATTCAAAAGGAAAAAAAGAAATATTTTGCATAAATAAAATATGTGCTTATGTTCATGTTTTGTATTTTTATGTTATCATTTTATGTTCAATTCTCAGTGCTCTAATGCAAGAAATTTTTTTTTTATTTTTTTTACAAATTGTTAAAATTCATATAGTTTGTATTGTACTTAATTAAATTTTTAATTTTTACTGTAATGCAATATCAATTTGTATACAATTAATAATTGCATTTTACTGTAATACGGTTATTAATTCAGTCTTGTAATGCAAGAATGAATATTAATATTTGATAATATTTCAAATTAAATTTAAGATTTATATTTAATTACATTAATTGATATTTTATTTTAATATGACCAAATTTTTCTAAAAAATTGCTTCATTTACATTATACAAAATATATATTTTTTCTTTTGATTTTGGTATTAAATGGGGAATTTACTCATTTTCAAGGCATTTACTCATTTTGTCATGGACTGGTCTAGTCTTCAATCATGTAGTGGCCTGTTGTGTTGTTGAGACACTGTACTTTGGTTCTCAAGTCTGAAAAACTACACAAACACCCTAAAGAGAGTCTAAGATCTGTGAGGATTCATTTCCCCCTATAAATGCAAATTTGAACTCACTCACCAAGAGTCAGAGTCAAGAGTCTGCTACAAAGAGTGAATCCATTAGCTCTATGGGGTAAGAGGCAAGAGATTAAATACTCGTGCAGTAGAGGAGGACTTTCTTTTTAATGGTAATTTATTCAATTTTCCTTTGTATTTACCATGCATGTCTCAACCTTATTTTAAGTGCAAATCAAGCCATGCTGTTGGCGTATTTGATCAAATCGGTCACAGATTGTAACTAATCTCCACAAGTAAACCATGCTAGTGTCTAAGGGCTGCACATTTCTCCTTAAAGGAATTAACTCTGTACAATCCTCATTCTCTCTCACGATGAAAAAGTGCATTCTCTGAATATTATGACTCTTATTGCTGTGCTGCAGAGGCATGCAGTGACATCAGGGCTGTGTTTGTTTGTTATATTATGTTGATTACATCATGTGGTTCAGGTTAAATGTTACATCTGGGCTAGAGAATCGTGGCAGGAATAATCTGTGTGAAATACAGCAGTAATGATTATTGCTTCAGAATCAGCTCAGGCTGATGCTTTACATTCCAGTTTACATGGATTTTGCATTTCAGTATGTTATTAGTATTACTGTAACATTCATATGTCTTATTTAATATCAGTTCTGGGTTGCACAGGGTACAAACGCCAACCCTTTTCCAATTTCTGCTCAGTGTTAGGAGTATAAGCAAATGACCCATAATATTAAAGCTAATTAAGATGTCGTTATTGTAAAACATGCTCTGAAGCATAAAACTTTAAACCGGAATTTTACCATTTAATATTGTTTCTCTGGTGTCCTGCTGATAGAATGAGAATTATCTCTCAAGGGCAAATAGATATATGTATATATATTTTGAAGAATCTAGGATGTTTTTGCCATACAAAATCTTCATACTGTACAAAATGTATCTTTGTTGTAACAGAAATAAATCTTAATGTAGTTAGAACATAGAGTTTGGAGCTTCTCTTCTTTCTTTCTCCAACAAAATCTATTTTTCTCACTTAAGGGGTTTATATTAAATGTATGATATGATGTCTGATATGACCTTGGTAGATTTTTGGTTTTACGTCATTCATCTGAGTCATGTTTCTCTCTCTCTGCTCTCAGGTAGTGGAGAAGCAGGTGACACTGAGGTGATACTGACCTCAGCACATCTCCTGTGGACCTGATAATGACCTCTCTAACCTGAGAACATCACACAGCATGCTAACATGTCCATTAACCGCCCACAGTATGTTCATAACAACAATTCTCTACATGCTTATCTGATTTTGTATAGTTGGGCACTCGTTCTCTTTCTGAAATACCAATGAGAAAACCTGAATTATTAAGCATCATTTCAGAAAATATAAATACAAGTTCACATATTCTATGACGTAGAAAAAGATCATCAGGTTTGGTGGTGGTGTTCTGAATAGAGAGGCTAATGCATGAGACTCAATCTCTGTGTTCCCCCCTGGATCTCATTATGGAAATCAAGGTGGAGTTGATATGGGGGAGGGACGCTGGAAAAAAAGAGCAAAATAAACAGCTATTTATATCTTAGCCATGTGATTAACGGGTTAACTAAACAGGCTCCTCCCAAACTTGCATTAGGAGCTTTATTTAATATAATAATAGGGGAGACTGGGACTAGCTGCCACAAATTTAGTGAATATTTCTCAAGGATGTTTTATTTTTACAAGGCAATTTCTCTATAGACATACCTTACAGTCTTGGTTACAAAACAATTCAGGAAAAAAAGATTCAGTACATTGAACATGTTGTCCAGTTGTCAGAGTGGAAATAAAATTTTTTTAAAAAAACTATTTTAGGCTCTTGACAACAAGCCCCAGTCTCTCCTATTGAACAATGAAAGGATAAGAATTTGTGTAGACATTATACCAGGCCTGGTGATATAATAATGCCACATTTTTAGTATTCAATATGTAAATTCATCCAGGAAAGGGGTCGGAATGAGCTCTCTCAAACCATCACCCCTCTTCATTCCTGAGTTTCTTTGTGTTTAGATGTTTGCTGTAATGCTGAAAGTTCCTCATAACTGTGTTATGATGTACTGTGGTGTTGTGACAAATCATGTATATTGATTAAATCCATCAATTAATTTTGTAAAACAAAACTACAATGCACTAGATATCTGAATAATAGTGCACCCATGGTAATATGTTTGTGTGCTTTCTGGAAGACCTAATCGTTGTTAAAGAAACAACATACATGCTTTCATTTCACTAGTGCTTCCATTGTTATTTTATAAAACATGGGCACTGCAATCCAAGAAGTCACTCCAACAAGTGAACTTGTTTGAAGATGCCTGTTGTAGATCAGAGGAGGAGAAGATCCTTTCACATGACTTGCATCAACATCTACCAATTGAACATCATGCTACAGCGTTACCTCTGATGCACATTGTCCACAGGCCACACGCTGTAACACAACGCTCAAAATTATAACCAATTCACACAATGTCAAAAACATATTCATAGACGTATGAGAGGAGATGGACCACTTGTAGAATATAAATGGGAGAAATCGTAACACTTGATATGGTGACTGTAGTAATGAAAATCCTGATTTTCAGTTGTTTATTTGCACTTTGGACCAGCCTCAAAATATTTTGTGTAATTTGTAGAGATCGACCGATATATCGATTTACCGATATTTTTTCCTATATTTAAGCATTTTACAATAATCGGATATCGGTTTTGTAATATCGGATTTACCGATAAACGCCGCCATCTTGAGGATGTTTCGAGAATTGCGAGCAGGATCACCATTGCAGCGCGTCTGAGGAGAAACAAGACAACAACAACGGCATGCACGGGTACTTGATTTACTGTAGTTAGTAAACTTTATTTAACATAACAGCCATTAATGCACAAATTAGATGTATTACATAAATGCCTGATATGCAGTTTATGCAGCTTGGCTCGAAGAAATAGAGACGAACTCACGGAGTCATGTAAGATAATCCGTCAAGTCCTGTCCCAATAAAGACGTAACTTTGCGTGAATTAAATAATATGCAGCCATGAATGGGCGCATGTTGGAAATAAAAGTGCTGAATTTAATTCGATCTCTGTTGTCTATATGCTCATCGTCTCATGAAGGCGGAGTCACGTAGGCTAAGATAATCCGTCAAGTCCTCTCCCAATAAAGACGTAACTTTGCATTAATTAAATAATACAGCCATGAATGAGCGCATGTTGGAAATAAAAACGCTAAATTTAATTCTCTGTCTGTTGTCTATGCTCATCATTAGTCTCGTGAAGCCGCTTTCATATTGCTGTTCACTCACCGGGTTGATGCTCAGGAAATGCTCCAGCACGGCCACAGCATGTAACTTTTAACAAGATTCACTTGTTTAAAACACCCTAAATTGTATTAACATTTACTATATAACCATTATTTCACTAATAAACATCTAAATAGATACAACTAATTTTAACATCTAAACTATACAACGAAATTAATTATTATCTCCACGAGCGATCGCAGTTTGAATATAGTTCTGTGTAAATGCATAGATAAACTGCGCTGTCAGCAGGCATTTCATAATCTAGAACGACAAAAACATTATTAGTAATTCTGATATAACATGCCAGTTGAGAAATGCAATAAAATACGATGTTTTGTTTGTTATATTTCAATATTCCAGAGAATATTATTCAGTGAATTAACATTATCCAGTGAATTATTCTTCACTCTTTAGCCTATTAAACAGCTTATAAACCTACTAAAACTGTAGTTCAAAATGAAGTTGATATGACTCCTTTCATTTATTTATTTTCTCCATTTGAAAACATTAGACCTTCTACATTTATTTTGCTTATTGTTAATATTAGTGTTGCTGCCGATGCTTTAAATAAAA